TTGAAATCACCTATCATGTTTCCATCTAGAGAAAACCACTGTCGAGCGTGACATGGTGGTTTCAAGCATTTAGATGGTTTTCTGTACCTGTATGTACAAAAAGCAGTATCCTACCAGGCGTATGATTTTGAAATCAGATATTCTCATTTAGCACTATATGATGAATGTATTTCCATGTTAACAAATAGATTTACTTAATTTTTAGTGGCTTTCTGGTATTCTAGTGTATGAGCCAAGTACGATTTATTGAGCGAGTCCCCGTTGACGTGCGCTGTTTTTAATCTTTCAACTTTTTATACAACGTTGCCTTGAATAGCCTTGGATATATATTCCTGTGTACTTACCTGGGTTTCTCCCCTAAAGCAGGGTTTCTGAACAGTGACGCTGTTGACATTCGGACCAATAATTCTTATTGTTGGGGCTGAGCTGTGCATTGCAGGGTGCTGGGCAACACCCTTGGCCTCTACTCGCTAGATGCAGTAGCCCCCCCCACCCCAATATCCTGACAAGCAATATCCGCAGATTGCCAAGTGTCCCCTGGGTGACAAAACAGCCCCTGCCTGAAAACCACTGCCCCCAGGATAAAGTTGTTAAGTGACAAGATTAAAGGACATGCATATTTTAAGACTTCTGTTATCTATTGACAAATTGCCTTCTAAAAGTTGCACGATTTATTGTCACCAGCGGGGGGGGGGGGGGGGGGGGGAGGGAGTGTGTGCCCGATTTGCCCCCCTTGTGAATATGGGCATTAACATCAGAAACCACATTGCCCATCTCAAAAGACAAGACATTCTCTCAGTGTATGATTTTTTTTTCATGGTTTTATTTCTAGACTGAGGCTGAACATTGAAAAGACCACGTGATGATGTGGACTGGTGGCTATTTCTGTGGCAAACAATCTTTCCTTACAATTGACTATTTTTTTCTTTTGGAAGAAAAGAATATTTCTTCCAAATTCCTTTTTCCCTGATTTTCCATGTCATCTGTTAACATATTAAGCAAAATGAGCAAATCGATCCTAGTTTGCTGTCTGTCTTTATGTGTTGATATTTTTGGTCGTCTTTGCTCTGAGATCCCGTGGATCCGGCAGCAGATTCCCGGGAGGGCGTCCTCGCGCATTCGCCTGGCTGGGGCTCTAACCGCGTCCCTGCCAGTGAGTGAGCCTACAACGTGCCCCAACTTTGCCTGCTGGAGGATCCCATCTGGGTCATGCTCTTTCATATCAAGATCAAGGGCTTGTCTCAAGGCAGCCCTGCTCTGGGAAGACTGACTGGGGGCTTGACCATAATTAGTTCAGGTTAATTATTGCCAATGTGTAGATTCACTGCACAGGGGCCTCTTTTCCCCTAAGCCAGGGCCACTGGAGGTTTCTTTTATGAGCTCTGAACCCTGAGGGAAGACTTCAAGTAATGAATTTTCCTGTAATCAGATTTGAGGGTTTGTTCCCTGAGCCATCCAGTCAATTGGAGAATTGAGCCCTGACTGGCTTATTTGGCCAAAGGAGGCCGAAGACAAGCACGGGGCACCTGATATGCAATCCAGGGAGCAGGTTGAAAAACATGACATAGGAGATGCATACCTCTTGAATTTCACGGAATTTTTAGGGGGAACAATTTTATTTATAGGGAGAGGCTACCATCTGGGGGGCTGTGCAGAAAGAGCGGGGTCCGCTTTGGTGTTGAGTATCAGGGATAAGAGTCTGGTTATCCTTGAGTAAAACCTTGTGAGATTTGCCTTCAACTTCTTCCTGATGGCAGAAACACAGTTGGTACAAGTTTATAAGTATTTAATGTGTTCGGTGTTTATTCAGCATTCATTCATGTGTCCGTGCGCTTCCTCAATCACCAGGAGGCACTGGGAATGTGGAATGCATGACACCAGGCCCCTGCCTGTCTTCAGGGGTGAGCAGGTGGCCTGTATTATTGGGAGAAAATAGACTTTCTGTGCGGGTTTGGAATGCACCTCGGGGTCACAATGCGAACAGCGAAGAGGCCTTGCGGCAAAGTTAGTGAAGCTGGTTCAGGGCATCAGGAAGAGGAGGAGAACAAGGCAGGAGTGCAGGCGATGGGTGATGTGTGCAGCTGTCAGCCACCAGGCATTCACCGGACGCGAGTCCCTTCTCGCAGGAGTCTCCCATGTGAGTCTCTTGGAAAGTGCAACAGCCTCACCAGGTCTGATCCTGGAAGAAAGCTCCTGGCAAATGGACTTTCCAGTCAAAGAACAAGACAGGAAAAGTTCAAAGACCTCTCTGTTGCATTTGAGGCCACATGGCCAGAGGCAAAGGGGAACTCCAGAGGATCTCCCTTTCTCTTTAGGCAGGTGCCTACATGGCCAAACGCAGCCTGCTCCAGGTGGTGGAGGGGTGGAGGGGTAAGAGGGTTAGCTAACAGAGCCGAGCAGCCCAGCTCAGAAGCTCCACTGGCCTCTGGCTCTAGGAGGCAGCGGGGGGAGAGAGGGCATAGTATGCTCAGTTCTCGTTTTTCCTTGCAATTGCATGACTTTCCTTGCCTTTTCAGCAAGTCCCGTCGGTGATATAAGGGAATGCTCGAGATGGAGTTTCCATGCAGCCCCCCTGGTCTCAGGAGCCGCTCACTGGTTTCACACAGGAATGCTGCTTACAGAACTTTAGAAAAAAGTGTTCCAGGGACAGAGGTTCCAAAAGGGAAGTTTGGTCCAGAAGGATGTGAAGCTCTCAAAAATGTCGTTCTGAGTTGTTTCCATTCTGTGCTTAATTCCAGTAGAGGAGAAAAGGGAGAGGCAGCCAAAGACACAGGCATGGCTGCACAAGAGACTGCAGGGCCAAGCAACATAACCACCTCACGCCAAAGACGGGATAAGAAAACACGCACGCACACGCACGCACACGCACAAACATGCACAGGTACAGCAAGGACCCGTAGAGACATGGTCAGGACGGCAGCCCAGCATGGCTGAGATTTGTGAAAAATGACAAAAAGGCTTTGATGGTTCTGCTCTCTGTGGATTCAAAATTGCATTTAACTGCTGGTAGCAAGAGACCTGAAAACTAATGGCTTAAACCAAAGAAGGGTGCATCTTTTTCTCTTAGGCAGGACAGGGTTGCTCTGTTGGCTTCACAGTGCCATCAAGATCTGCTTTCTGCCCTACCATCCTTACTTATTGAGTGGCTTCCATCTGTGGGTTCACCTCATGGCCCAAGATGGCTGCCAGTGCTCCTCCCACTGTATCTGTGTCCCAGGCAGGAAGAAGAAGTGAGGAAGAGGCAAAAGGGTGCCTTCCAAATATGTAAGTTCCTTTTAAAGTAATTCCCCAGAAATCTCCCCGGTGACTTCTGCATGCATCTAACTGACCACCTCATTTGCAAAGGAGGCTGAGAAGTGTGGTTTTATAGTGAGACACATCGCCCCCTTCAGCGCTATGGGGATTCTGTGATTAAGACAGCAAAGAGAATAGGCATGGGGAGGCAACTAGCAGTTTTTGACACAAGCTCAAGGAAGACAATGAACAAAGTAGGAAAGGCTCCCTCCCTCCCTTTCTTAATCTGGGATACCCGGTGCACTGTTAACAGGCAATAGAAGCCTCTAGCAAGTTTTTGTTCACCCTCTCCTTAAATGTTAGAGGACCCAGGGAAATCTGACAGAGCAGCATTCAAAATGATTTCAAGGTCCAGACCCCTGGATACATTTCAGCACAGGGCAGTGAAAAGGACTGAGAAATCCCGGAGAATTTGATGAGGGAGGGTCTTGAGTGGGAATCCCATTTTCTGAAGTGTGTTCCACAGGCTGTTGCTCCATGTCACATGAAGAAATGGCTCCCTGGTCACAAGCTTGGGGGACTCTGGATTAAACTAAGTTAAGCTGTTTATTTAATTGCAGAAAAATTTGGAGTCATAAACATGCTCACTTACTTTGTGACTTTTTGTTTTTCTTTCTAAAAGGGAGCATTTCCAAGCTGATTTGCTCATGGAAGTCACTTCTTGCAGAGCACCATGGGACAAGTGTTCTAGAGTCAACATTTGGGAACCAGCGGTGCGGTCAGAGGCTGCCTGCTTCCCTGTCAGGCTCTGGCCACCCGGGGACGGCCAGCACCAGAATCATCTTCGCCCCACTCCGGGCCTCCTGAGCCATAATCTTGGGCCCATGGCCTGGACATCTGCATTTTTCCAAGCTCTCCCAGTAAGTAAGTCTTAAAACTCACTGATGTTTGAGGTCCACTAGATGACAGAGCTGAGCCTCTCCACTGTACAAATACTATGACTTGATGAGTTTACCTCCGGGTAGCTCCTCCCGGCCCCCTCAAAACTCATTTCTCTCATCGCCCTTTGGTACCCGGATAATTTCCTCGGCTCTGTGTGCAGCAGCTCACATTTGTCTTTATTGCCGTTCTCTTTATTGATTTAGGCCCATCTCTGCAATTCGTCAAGCTTGGATCGTATTTTAATCTTGTCCTCCAAAGTAGCTAAGATCCCTTCCAGCTTTGTATTGTGCGGACATCTGATTAGCTGGGTCTCGATTCCATCCTTCAAGTCATTAATGAAAATATTAAATGGTCCTGGGTTAACACGACGGTCTTCAGGGTTCTCGGGAGATGGATGGCTACTCTCTCAGCCACTGGTCTCTGCTCGGTGCTGGCAGAGTGTGGTCATCACGGCCAGCGTCTCGGTCATAGGTTATTGCCGTCTTACAGATCCACGCAGGGCAGTGCAAATCTCTGTGGAGGAAAATAGAACCTCCTAATTCCTTAAATAATTCAATACACGTTGAGCCACAAATGTCTTTGAGGCATACGATGTTTTTCCTCTCACACCAATGGCATGCTGGCCACAGGATGAAGAAGCTTATCCCAAGAGCGTGCATTAGAAATATCAATTTTTACGTAAAAGGCAGCTCAGCTCCGTCTTTGAGATGCACCATTCCGGGCTGAGCCGGGCTCCCGACAAGCACTTGTACATAGTGATGCGGGAAGAGCTCGCTTTTCTGAACCATTCCTAAGTGGTAGCCCCTGTTCTTGCCCCTTTATAGGTGTTCATTCATTGGATGCTCCAAACAACGCTGTGATGGGAATGCTGGTATCATCACCCCTTTCTGGATGGGCTGGCGGAGGCACAGAGGAATTGGATAACACCCCTAAGGTGCCAGAGCTGGTGAGTGTCAGAGCAAGGACTCAGACTCAGGCAGCCTGGTTCCCACGCCCAGGCTCGGGCCCACCACCCTGCGTAGTTGCAGCCGGGACCGAGTGAGCGAGCAGCTGGGACGGGCCTCCCCGGGGCCCAGAACCCGGCGGTTATTGACAAGACTGACCATGGTGTTCATGGGTTTTCATCCATTGTCTCCCTTAACGTTTGGTAACTGGCAACCGGCATGAGTTGCTCCTATTGTATAGAAGACAAGACAGAGGCATAGAGCTAACCCCCCAGAATCCATCCCAGGTCCTGCTGACCCGCTCCCCTGGGGCTGGCCCGGAGGACACCTGCCAAACAGGTGCGGCCCTGAGGGCTCCTTGGAGAAGTGGGGACACATGCACGGCGGGTGGCTTGTTCAGTCCTCCCCAGAAGTTCTTTCTGTGGCCTCATCCTCAAACCCATAGCAAAGCGGGGCTGGGCTCATTCAGCAAACGTGCTCACTCACCCCAGGCTGGGCCTGGCGTCATTCTGGGAGCCGAACAAGACCGGCCCCTGCCTTCAGAAATCTGAAGTTGAGCGGACATCAGCACAGTCCCCACTCACCCTGACCCATGGCAGAGGCGAAGCCGAGGTGTCACCAGCTGTCACCCGCTGGGGCAGAGTCCGGTGGGGTTGGGGGGGGAGGGGTACAACAAACTGGGCTTCCTGCAGGGGGCGAGAGCTGGGCCTTGAGGTCGGGTTTCAGTGGCAGCTGAGAGGCAGGCGGGGTGGGTTCTGAGGGGGGCCCACACCTGGCGAACCCCAGAGCACCCCCAGACGAGCGCCTGCCAAAGCAACAGTCAAGCCGCATCTTCGCCTCAGTCCCCAGACTCAGTCCCTCAGCCCGGCCTCGGGAGCGGTTTCCTGAGCTGATGTCCATCTCCTCCGTCAGTGGAGCCACGGCACCAAAGGCCAGGGCCCCCAGGATAAAAACCTGTCCCCGCCACTCTCCCGTGGCCAGTGGCGGAGACCTGGAGACGGAGTCTTTGTTCTCCCAGTGGGTGATGAAGCACTTTGTCCTTCAGCCACCAGAGGGCAACAGTCGTCCACACATCGGATATTCCCGCGGGGACGCGGGCACCCGCCTGGTACCACCTCTGGGAGGCTGATCTGGGAGGCTGTGGAAGATGACTTTGTTAAGGAAAGTTGGTGGGGACTCCTCCCGACCCCCCGCCCAACTTCCCGAGCTTTAAACACCTTCAAAGCGGCGTATTCCAATCCCAGGGAGCAGTCTAGTTTAGGGACAGCGCTTTAGGAAGCCGGACACTTGATCGGGGAGGTCCAGAGGACTGGTTCACACGCTCTGACACTCCCCAGCCTCAGTGGTCTGGTCTGTAAAATGGGATGGCTTACACGACAGGAGGGAACTGAGGGGGCTCTAAAGGCCATGATGCGTGAGGACAAGAGGTTTTCGTCACAGCTGCTCCTGCCGGTGTCTGTGCCAGGATCCCGCCTGTGGTGCAGTGGGTGGGGGGCAGGGAGCCTGCCGTGTGCTCGGGGTGTCAGGGCAGGTGGCTGCTTTGTGGTCAGGGGCACAGAGCCATGTCCCTGCATCTGAGAGCTCAAGGGCAGCCGGGAGAGGGTAGGTGGTAGATCACAGGGTGGGAACTCTGGCCCCGGTTCTGACACGGCCTCGTGGTGTGACCTCAGGTGTGTCTCTCCATCTGTCCAGTGGTCAGGAGATGGGATCTCTTGGGGCGTCTCCCAGCCTGCGGTCTTCTGAGCGGTTCTGAGAGGGAAAGATGACAGCTGTGGGAGTTGGAGGGAGGAGGTGAAGAAGAGTTTCTGATGCACCTGGATCCTGGGGACACCCCTCTCTTTCTTTGGGCCTTGATTTTCTCTTCTGTGGAATGCGCAGGTTGGACTAGGTGATCTCTAACCATTGTCTCCTCCTCCTCACCCTATCTCAATAAATACACACAGAGTCCGTATCGGTGCTAAGACTTCCTGATTCTGATTCCATTAAACAGACATGCACCTCTGCCCAGCCTGGCCAAGTCTCTAGGGACAGACACCCCGTGGCCACATACAATGTGTCCTGGACCCTGATGTTAGCCCCCAACCCCAGCCCCTTCTCCTTGCCAAAACTTTCTCCCTTCTTTCTCGGTCACCAGCATGCTGTTCACAACTGGTCATTGTGTCTCTGGCAGCTTCTTCCCTTCTATCTCCATCCACAACCCTCCTACCCCAGGTCAGGAAACTGTCCGAAGCTTTGTCCTCACTCGTCCCTGTCCCCAGTGCCTGACCCACCCACAGCCCACATGGGGGAGCATAGGAGCTAGTCCATAAAAAGGAGCTGGATGAATATTTAAAGGGAAGTAGTGAGTAGTATATTAACAACTTACATGGATGTTGTAATCATCCGCAGTGAAATATTCCCTCACCTCTTTGTGAAATTATCATTCCGAACCACGGAATACATTAGGTTTTATGATCTACTTGCTTCTTTGGGGAAATATAAGTCTTGAAACATCATCTTCATATGACGGGACAAAGAGTCCCCTGGGACACAAGATGTTTAAGAATGTTAACTGAGAATCAGAAATAGTTTGCGATTAATATCGGGGTTTTGTTTATGGGCACAAATAAATCCCTGGTGTAGGGCTGACCTGTAAAAATCTGTCCAAGATGAAAACTCTGATTGCAAATGATGGAATGGGAAAACAATCTGAATTTAAAGAGGTGATTTGGGGTGCAGGGTTGCAGTGTTTAGGAGCTAATATTTTCTGACCGTAAATTTGTATGCTATTCAAACATTCCTAGTCACCAACTAAAATAAATATTATAGAGACTAGGAATTTATATCAGTGGTCTACAGCCATCCAAGTTTTGTAAGAAGATCATGTGAAACAGGGCAGTCCCTGTTCCTAGGATCATCGAAAGACCCTCCTCAGCTGTCTTTCACCATTAGGGTTAGGTCCTGGTGGTGCTGCTTAATGTGGGGGTGGGAGGGCAGAGGAAGCCACACCAGCATTTGGGGCTTTGGGTGACTGGAAGTAGGGGGTCCTCCTGGGAAGAGTGCTGCTTTAGGAGGGAGAAGACCCACAGGAACCTCCCCTCCTTGTTTGCCCTTGTGCAAGGCTGGTCAGGCCTCTTCTTTGTTTAAAACCCATCACGTCTTCTGCCCATTTCTTGATTGGATTATTTGTTCTTTGGGTGTTGAGTTTGATAAGCATAATAAAATAAAATTAAAAAAAAAAAAACCCATCACAGACTCCTCATGGCTTCTAGAACAAAGTCCAACCCTCAGAATCCCTAGCCTGGCTCATAAAATCCTCTGTGATTTGACTCTGCCCCACTCTCCAGGCTCCCTTCCCATTACACCAGGCTTTCGGGACTCGGTACGTGCTCTCCACATCTTGGTCCCTTAACCTGAAACTCTTACCCAGAATATCCCTCCTCTGTGAGCCATTTGGTAAAAAACTGCTATTTTTTAAGAACAGCATGAAGGTCGTCTTGTCTCTGAAGCCTTCTTAAAGGCTCCTGGGAAGAGGTAGTTTCTCCGTTCTTCCAGTTTCTCCTAAACCCTGAACATCGCTCTCTCCCCGTCTTGTGACCTTGCCGAAGACAGAATGACAGGACGGATTTCCCTGCCTTACTGGTGTTGGGCTTGGCCAAGGGGCTTGATTAAACCAGTGGGATGTGAACAGCAGAACCAAGGCCTTAAGAGGTGATGTGTTTTCCTGTTCTCTAGTGTCTCTTTGATTTTCCACAGGAAGACTGTGTCTCTGACAGCTGCTGTTCCCAGGAGAATACGGAGTCCTGTGGAGCAAGTGTGAATTCAGCTCGAACCTGGAGCCAAGCCCAGCTGCCCTCAGCCGGGAGCAGAGCTGCCCCAGCCAAAGCACAGACAGGTGAGTGAAAAAAATCGATGCCCATCGTTGGATGCCACTGAGTTTTGAAGTGGTTCCTTACACAGCACGAGCGTGGCAACAGCGGACTAATACACCGTTCCACCGAGAGACAGTGCATGTGGAGGAAACCACCTGCTAAGTTTGGGGTGAATTAGAACAAATTGGGTCTGGTGCTCTAAGCCTCTTAGAGCAGTCCACCTTCGGTGTGGTGCCATGTCTGATGGGGCACTGGGGTGGCGAAGCAGCGCCGCCCAGAGGCGGGCAGAGATAGTGCCCCAGGCTTCCTACCCAGTTCTAGGAGAGAGATCCAGGAGTTCCCACACGTCTGGTGGAGGGTGAGGAATGTCTGGGAGAGCTATTTGGTTTATATAAATTAGAGATTAGCACAGGGGTGCTCACATCAAGGGCAGGCCCTTGGGATCTCAGGCTCCAGAAGGTCTTCCGTTATCTGCCTGACATGCCCAGACCAGACGGGACCAGCCACCCCGGGGAAGACCCCAGCACAGGGTGCCCTATGGTATGAGGACATAACAGTGCACGATAAATATATGTTGTTTTAAGCCACTACATGTGGGCTAATTGTTTACAGCAGCAAGAGGTAACGAACACAAGGGGCACCTGGGTGGCTCGGTTGAGCATCTGACTCTTGATTTTGGTTCAGGTCATGATCTCAGGGTCATGAGATCCAGCCCTGCATTGGGTTCCACACTCAGTGAGGAGTCTGCTTGTCCCTCTCCCTCTGCTCCTCCCCTCCATCTCTCTCTCTAAAATAAGTAAGTAAAATCTTGAAACAAAACAAAACAAACGAACACAGCTGGAAACAATGTAATGATCCAACAGTAGGAGATTGTCTGATAGAATCTTGTTTTTGTAAAGAAATGACAGAGATTTATGGGACAGAGTGTACAGCTATGGTCACAAGTCTGACCTCTGGAGGTGAACAGATCTGCAGGTCCAACCCTGGTCCCACGCTTCTCAGCTGTGTGATCCTGGGCAAGGGACTTACCCTCTCTCAGCCTCAATTTTTCAATCTGTAAATCTCCCATTCTTGTGGTGGGGACTGAAATATTCCCACTACATAGTAAGCACCCACTAAGTGGTAATATCTATTATTATTATTATTATTATCATTATCATTATTATTATTACACAAAAGGACCTACAGCAATGTGACAGTCATCTCGGGGTGAGGATGACTTTATTTTTCTTGTCCTTGATTTCCGATGTTTCTATCATGGACAAAATTTCCTTTGCAATAAGAGAAAAAGCAATGGAAGGTGAACTGAAACAACGGAAGAATCTGAAAATGTTCAGAGTTTTTTTAAATGTCTGATTCATTCTCAAACAAGAAACTAGAGTTCATTGCCTCTTGGGTAATGTTTCCATTACTTTAATTTTTAGAAGATGGTTGCAAATAAATGTTTTCCAATGCCAGTTTGTTTAAATCATTTTTTAAAAAATGTACCACACATGCGCTATTTTCCATCGAACTGCTTTTGCCCACATGGTTTGCTCCCAAAACCTTGCTGTGGAAGGGACCCTAGTGGGGGCACACAGCACTGGGAGAAGTGTGTGGGGTGCCAGAAGCCGGGTCTCCCAAGAATGCAAGGTCCAGGGGGAGCATCTTGGGACAGAGGACAAGTGGGCTCTTGCTTGACACTAGACTCTGGGCAGAAAAATCAATGTTCAATTGTGATTTTAAGGAGATTATGTTTACTTATGAAAGTCATTAGTTGTGGGTATTTCTTTGCAAATGGCTTGAAACCGTGTCTTTGCTTAGCTATGCAAATGTTAGCAGGTAAAGCAAATTTTATTTTTAATATGAATTCACCAAACGTATTGAGTGCCTACCATGTGCCCGGTAAACTGGAGAAAGGATTTGGGCAGGGAGTGATGAGTGGATGGTGGTGAGTGGATGAAGAAACATGGATCAATCAAGGTCACCAATTTCTATGAGCTCATTATCTACTTTAACATTTTCCCATATTTGCTCTATCTCGCTTTCTATTTCTTTTAAAATTGTTTTGCAAAACCATTTGAAAGTAATTTCCAGACATGGTGACTCCTTATCCCTATATACTTCAGCATAAATCTCCTAAGGATAAGAACACAGTCCTGTATCACCTATCACCATATACTGTCATTACTAAGGAAATCAATAAAAATCCTATAATGTCTAATATTAAGTCTATATTCAAATGTCTCTCTCCCTCTTTTTTAAAAGCTGTTTTGTTGTAATCTGCACTGATGCCGTGTTTTAATTGCCTGGAATGGAAATGACCTTTGCTCAATGTAGCCAATGGCACTGTGTTCTTCCCATGGCATTTGCTGGCATTGCAGGGTCCTGTTTGAAAGGAAGTGACAGGTTTCGCAGGGCTTGCCTTTATGTGACAACAAATACCATGTTTTGTAAGAAAAGCTGGCCTCTTTGGACTCCCCTTTCCAACGGTACCAGGAAGAGCTTCGGCTCTCATCCCAGAGCGAAGGCTCAGAGACATCCCTTGCCCAGTGTCACCACCTGGAAAGTGGCAGAGCAGAGACTCTGGATCTGAGTTGTCTAACCACAAAGCTAGAGCTCTGCCCCTTGCCCTTGCCCCTTCTGCCGTGCGCAGGGACCCCTGGAGTGAACAACTCTGACACCTAAGCAGGAAGTGGACCCTGCTCAGTGGAGGCGATTTCTGTACCATGGGGATTCTCCTCACAGCATTCCACAGAAACCATGACAAGAGACTCAAGAAAACAGCTCTAGGATAACTCCCCCTGAAAACCCATTGCCTTAGCTCAGGCTGTCATAACAAAATACCAAAGATGGGAGCTCCAACAATAGCCATCTATTCTCCCAAAGTTCTGGTGGCTGGAAGTCCAAGGTCAAGGTGCCGCCATCAGGGTTGGTTTCTGGTGAGACTTCTTTTTGGCTTATAGACATCTGCCTTCTTGTTGTGTCCTCACATGGCCTTTCCTCTGTGCACACAGAGAGAGAGAGAGAGAAAGAGAGCTGTTGTGTCTTTTTCTCTTCTGATAAGGACACGGTCCTTATTGGATTAGGGCCTGACTGTTATACCCTCAGTTAACCTCAGTTACCTCCTTAAAGGTCCTGTCTCCAAATATAATTATAGCTTAGGGCTTCAGCGTGTGGATTTTGGGGTAATGCAATGCAGTCCATAATGCCTGTTCAGTGATTTGACTAGAAACAAATATTTTGCTCCCATCTAAGTTGGGTTTAGCACAGTGTAGTTGGCCATCTGGATCATCCATATCCTAGATACTTACTTCTCACTAGTGACCATTTCCCCATCTTAACTGAGTTCCCTTAGCCTGGCGAATAGACCCAGTGAAAGGAAATCCCAGTTTACCGCACCGTGGAGAAAAACCCAGCTCAGCCCTCAGTTTCTTCCTGAGGTCTTCTCCTCACAGCCTTCCACTGCAGAAACTGAAAATTCAAATACTCACTTCTGCATCTCCTTTGCAGCAAGCAGGGCTTGGCCAAATCAGGCTCATGCCCCTGATTTGAACTGTGAACTGCTGAAGCAGAGGAGGGATCCTGCCGAAAGTCCTTCTAGCAGGGTATTGGCAGCAACAGCAGCTGAACAGTTTCCCTGAGGTGGCAGATCTGGGGGCTGCACCTGAATGTTGTCGCATCTGAGGGCCGACAGTGTAAACTATGCAGCATAAACTCCTGGGGGGGGGTGGTCCATGGCAGCAGCGGTGGGGTCTCCACTGGGCCAGTTCTGAACGTGGTTTCCAACTCTGTCCCAGCTGCCTGGCCTCAGAGGCCCTCTCATATACTCTGCGTGCTCCTCAGTGTCCTACAGCAAAGTCCTCGTCTGCGTCAATTACTCAGAGTAGATTTCTGTCACTTGCATCTAAGACCCCAGGCTGCTTCCTGCACGACCTCTGGAAGACCATGCAAACACAGTCCATTACTAAAAGAAATAGTCTTGCTGTTAGCTTATGACTAAGCACAAATGATGTTGCAAACTTCCTTTTTTTCCCCCAAATATACTTTTTCTCTTGGAATAATTTTAGACACACAGAAAAATTGCAAAGATGATACAGAGTGTTCTTGTACATTTCACAGCGAGTTATCTCTGCTATCAACTTCTTATATTAGTGTGGTACCATTGCCACAGTTAATAAACCATTGCTGATATGTTATAATTAACTAAAGTCCAAACATTATTCAGATTTCTTTGTTTTTACCCATTTTACTCCATGTCTATTTTCTGTCCCAGGACCCCGCCCACAATACATTACATTTAGTCGTCACGTCTCCTTAGGCTACTCTTGGCTGTGACAGTTCCTTACACTTGCCCTGTTTTTGATGATTAGTTTTGGGGAGTACTCATCAGAGGTTTTGTAGCACGTCTTTCTATTGGAACTTTCCGATATTTTTCTCACGATTAAACTGGGGTTCTGTGCTTGGGGGAGGAAGACCACAGAGGTAAATTGCCCTTCTCATCATAGCATATCAAGGCTACATCCCATCAACATGACTGATCACTGTTGCTGTTGAGCGTGGTCGGCTGGCCCAAGTTGTGTTTGTCAGATTTCTTCACTATCAAGTTACTCTTGTTCCCTCTTTCCGTAGTGTAGCCTTTGGAAGGAAGTAACCATGCATAGCCCCCAAATTAACAAATAGGGAGTTATGATTCACCTCCTTGAGGGGGGGGGTATCTTCTGCATGAAAAATTTGTTTCCTGCCCCCCCTGTTTGTGTGTTTGTCATTTATTCAGATCATTATGGACTCATGGATATTTATTTTATATTTTGGGTTATAATCCAGTACTATTTTATTTATTTTGTTGCTCCTATGTCCCAGTGACATAGCCCCCCATCAATGTGAGTTTAAAATTTTTTTTTTTTTTTTTAGCACTTTCTTCCTTTTTGGCATTACAAGATGCTCTAGGCTCAGCTTGTGTATTTTCTGTGCCATCCTGGGATCGGCCATTTCTCTAAGGAGCTTTGGTTCCTTTTATTGGAGGATGGTATTAGACTTCATGGTTCCGGGGCTAGGTGTGCTTGTTGCTACCAAAGTGTTCTGGCCATTCTCGAGGCCTCTCCACTGAGAGGACAAGGAAATGCATGCATGTACACTAACCTGTGTGTATATGCACATCTCTACGTATTTCTTTATTTAAAAAAAAAATTTTTTTTTTAGAAGATTTTATTTATTTGACAGAGAGAGACACAGCGAGAGAGGGAACACAAGCAGGG